AATCAAAAATCGAGATTAGTTATTTAATACTTTTTTGGATTCTAATTTGAAAACCCTTTTTAATTATTCTAATTTATAGTTATTTAAAGTTTATTTATTTATATTAGTAAAGAACTATTAGCTTTGAAATATATTTTTTGGAATTTATATAGAATTCATATTTTAAGCCTTGAAAATGATTATAGGTAATAAAGCATTTCTAATTGTATTAATATATTCAAATGTAGTTATCTATTCTTGCTTATTAATTATAACTTTCTAATTCGATTTTTGAATAGAATTAATTATAATATATATATTTTGAATACTTCCAATTCCAAATTTAGTTTCATCTATATTATATATATTATTTAATTTATACTTTTATTTAATAAAACATATACAAAATACATCAAACCAAATCTGAATATTTTCTGAAATTACTTTTTTAATTTGATTAAACTCTAATTAATATAAATAGTATATTTTAAATTTTAAATATTGTTTTTGGAATCTATAGATCTATTTGTAATTTATAAATAGAATTTCTATTGAAATAGAATTTCGAAATAATATAATCTAAATATATTAAAAACGAATTTCATTAACCATTTTTTTTACTAATATAAGTATAACAAGGAATTCAATAATAATAAATCATAAAATCTATTATATAAAAGTATTTTCTTTTATATTTAAAAGAATTTAAGCCATTTCATAGATTTAGGAATATATTTTCTTTTTAGTTAGCCTATCAGCTAAAATAGATTTAGAGACTTCAAAATGCTTTGTAGCCTTTCTAATTGATTTAAATTCTTTTAATTAAAATGAAATTATAGCCTTTTAAAGCTTCTCTTTAATTTGAGTAAATATAAAAAGTAATTAGATATATATAATAAAAGTTATTGCGATTTCAAATTGATAATAGACTAAAAGTGTTCGAGTTCCCCATATGTTCGAGTTCCTCATATATTATATTATTATATAATTATTGAAATAAATATTTCAAATTGGACTATAAGTAATATACTCTTATAGTATAATAATAAAAGTTATTTATATCTAATAATTTATTTCTCTTCGAAATATAGTATTATTAAATATAACTATAAGATTTATGATAAGGAATTACTAGTTATTATTAAATTATTAGAAAAATAGAGATTTGAATTATATAATATTCAAAAACTATTTGAGATTATTATTAATTATAAAAATCTAGAATATTTTATATTAATAAAAATACTAAATTAAAAATAAATGAAATAAATTAAATTCCTATTCGATTTTAATTTTTGTATTATATATTAATCTGGTTATAAAGCAATTTGTCCTAATATATTAAATTAGAAAGTAGAAAATTGTTTAATTTATACTAATTCTAATAATAATTAAATCAAGAATTATTTATAAATAATTCTTTTGAAAAGAGTATTTAATATTATTATATTCATAAATCTTATTTAATAAGTAAATAATAATATCAATCTGATTATAGTCCTTATAAATATAATTATTTCTAATATCGAAAAGCCAATTAATAATCTTATTAATAAAGTATATAAATTATTCGATTTGATTACTATTATATATAAAACACTTCAAAATCTAATTACTTGTTATTGACTACTATTAATCCAAAAAAACCTTTAAATTGTTTTTCAAAATTATAAATTAATTAATAATAAAATCTTTTACTATAATTACCTTTTTGTTTCCTTTTTTACTAAACTTTATATACAAATAATTTATTAAATATACTCAATTAGATCTATAGAATATTCTAATTGAATTAAGATTCTTGATTTTATTTCCTATATATATTAATAACTCAATATATCAAGGGAAATTAAAATCTTTATATAAATCTATTAATTTTATTTTTGAATTAAAGCCTCTTGTTTTATAGTACTCGAATTCCTCAAATTCCTATTAGTATTATTTTACTCTTAATTTAATATTTTTATCAATTATATTATATTATTATTAATTAATGAATATTATAGAAAAAAGTATTAGTATATTATTATAGTTATTTATTGTTTAATAAAGATATGTCATTTTATATTAATTATAGGATTATTTATAAAGAAGCTTATTAATTAATTTATTGAAAAGATTTACTATTTATACAAAGCATTTAATAATATTATATTTGATAGAAGCTTACAATTCATTTCGGAATTCTAGAAATATCTATTTAAATATTTATTGATTATTTTAAAATAATCTTCTTTATTTCACTTTAAGTTTAATAATTAAATAAAAAGAATTAATATTATAATAGAATAATATCTTTAAGTTTTTATAAACTTTTATTAAAACAATTAATATAATTAGCTTTTATTTATAGAGTTTACATTTAATAATATTATCTTAGAGATTATTAGTATATTTCTATTCTTTACTAACTATAAATTCTATTCATATTTTGGCATTAAATTTTCTTTACTTATACCTCCAAACTTATTATATTAAAGAAAATATAAATTCCTGAAAGCTAATGAAATTATAAATTGATTCAATTTGATTTTAACAAAATTGAAAGTTCTTGCTATTAAGTTTATTCAAAGATATAAAGATTATATTAATAGAGTTTGTATCAATACTCCTTTATATAAAAAAAGCGATAAAATATGAATTAATATTTGAAATATAAAAATCGATTAATCTATAAAGAAAAATAATAATAAATAAAATAATTTCTATAAGATCCTAAAAGTTTATAAATAAACCTATCTTTTTTAGCTTTTATCTAACTTTAAGATTTTTTTAGTATTTTATAATTTTTTGCTATAATTGCTTTATTGCTTATTAGAATTAGTTGATTAAGATATAATCAATAAAGCTAAGTCCTAATAAAACTAGAGTCAAGTTCTTAAATATAATAACAAAATAAACAAAGAGATTAAATAATAGAAATTTAATAAACTTCTTGATTATTACAATAAAAACGGATTCTATTACTTGATTAAATGAAAACATTACCTAACCTTTTGATAATCCACTAAAAACCTTTACAGTCAAAAAGATATAATTATTATTTTCTATTTAGTGAACCCAATTAAATTCAATCCATTTATTTGAATAAAATTCAAGAGATTAATTATTAATCTTTTACCAATTACATCAAATATAAATATTGTTCCCTTAAAACAAAGCTAAAATAAACTAAAAAAGCTTCAATATTTGATTACTATAATCCTTAGAAAAGTTTATTTTAATTCAATAATAGAAATAAGGATATTTTGATATTATTTTGTCTTCTAGTTTAGATAATTATTATAATCAAAGATTAATCATTTTAAGTAAAGAATACTATTATAGTATTAATTATCTATTCGTTAATTGCTTTTATACCTAAAGTTTCCATAATTAATATACCTTATTTTTTATAAGTAAAATCCTTTTCTTCTATAGTCCTTTTATTCTTATAATATAATATAAGTCTTTACCCGTACCTTAATAAAAGATATATAAGATCATTAAGAGATAATATAAAATAAACTAATAATATTTTAAACATTATTAATTTATATTTATAATCTAATAACTTATTTTTATAAAAACTTGAATACTTATATTTAATTTATAATTAATTATATTTGGATATTGATTTAAGTAATATTATCTCGAGATTAATAAGTAATTCCCTTTTCCTTATTCTTTCCTTTCCTATCAAGATTAATATCAGATTCAAAAATAATATTATTATTATTTATATAAATCTATTTTAAATAAGATTAAACAGAAAGACTAATTAGGGACCATTATATACTAATTATTGATATAAATAGATTAATATCAGAATTAATAAATATAAATATAATAATAGTACTTATAATTCATATATTTATTAATAAATTATCTTTATTAAGAATTACTTGAAATAAATCTTCTTTCTATAAACAATATTGAATTTATATAATTCACTTAAAAAAATATTAAATTATAAGATATTATTTGATCAACTATCAAATAACTATATAATTATATAAAAAGTTATAGATAATATAACATTTTGTTTTAAAAGAATTATAAGAATAGAATACAATTTATCCTTAAAATTTATAACTATAGAATTAAAAGCAAAGTATTTATAAAGTACTTCTATATACTAACTATATACACATAATTGTACACGTGTGCGTATATGTATGTAAGCGATCGCATTGCGATTGAGTGCGATCCGTGACAATTTCTATAATTACGTTGCTCTCCTATTTCAGGCCCTCTTTGTAGACTTCAGAGTAAATTGTCAAGCGATTTAGCTGATCAGTCTGTACAGGTTGACCTTATCGCTCAATCCTGCTTCGCCTTGTTTGCTCTTTTCTCGAAATCCTTCCAGGCTCCCAAGATGCGACCCCTCCGTAGATTAGTGTTTTCTGTTATGGCAACTTCAGCATTTTACCCTATTATCATAAAGATCTCTCAAGTTGGTTGGTCGCAAGCGAACTCCTAGTATGGAGCTTCGCTATAAAGCTTTGCTATCATCATCTATTTCTGCTCTGTAACAATTTATGCAGTAAGTTTATTTTTCTACCGAATTGGAGGCTCGAGATCCGTTAACATCGTCTATAGCTTCGAGTTACAGAGGTATGGAAACCTGGATACTTTTATATTTGGGGCCATTCTCATCGGATACTCCATGTAGGTATAGCGATTGGACTCACGTTACATTTCTTGGCCTTCTTCAAGGCCATTGATCAATTCTATACTATGAAGCATGGCCAATGCCCGGATTGAGGATTTTGAGTAATTGAGTACAACTATTATTGTGTTTCTTTCGTCATAGCTATACCTGACACTTTTCGTGTGACTTCTAGAATGTTCAATAGTTCAGACTACAGCTTAACAATCAAACTTAGAATGTCCAGCACCTTGTTAACTCTTCAAATTGTTTCAGTTATTGAGCTGTATTCAATTCTCGAATGCATATGAAACAATGAATGCAAATCGGTTTTTTTCATGGCTGAACCACTTCATCTCAATTCTGTGGCCTATCAAATCCTATACCTTCTCTAGTAAGGAATTTGTTGTCCAAAATAGCTCATAATTAGATCAACATTAGCAGTTGGAGAAACAGTATGGTTACCCCACCCATCACCCAACTCCATGACGTAGTTGGAGATACCATCGTTAGGATACCAATGGGGCAAAGTACCATTAGTGTACGCTCCACCGGTGTTAGGGTTACCAGTTCTAATAAAGTTGACCCAGTAGCCAGTCATCAATTCGCCGATGTAGTAATCTTCGTCAGTGAAAGGGTATGTGTCAGTATTGGCGTATAGTGCATTCAATGCGTACATGATTTCACTTTGATGGAAAGCACCCTGATCCTGTCCCGGTGGAGCATCTACAAAAGATAATTAGTACTGATCTTCTGAACTTACGAAGCAATGAAGATGACTTACGGTCCCAGTAGTAGGTGTAGATCGGGCTTGCGGCAGACTCAATCCACTTGTTTGCATAAGCCCAACTGCTGACAACCGAGACATCTCTTTGAGCAGCGTTCCAAGCCATGTTGGCCAGAGTAACATTACCATCTGCAGGGTAAAGTTTGAAGTATGTGTCGGAGAGATTGCCCCATCGGAGAGCGTTGTATTCTTGGTATTCGGTGAGATTATATAGGGTAAGTGATGTAGAGGCACCGCTCTCGTCTTTAGTATTTCCGGTGATAAGTGGGACATCGTTGGCGGGACCTGCGATGAGTTGATCCAAGTATTTCATGGGGAGAACGTAGCCATCCAGAACAGGCTTGAATATAAGAGGGTCGTTGCATAGCAAAGCAGTGATATACCAGATGCTAGAGTCACGATCATTGGATCCTTGGATGACATCTGACAGAGGCAGTTCACGGAGTTCCGCAAGAGTACTAACGTTTTGAGCAGCTGTGTAGTTCACACCGAAAGCTAACGCTCTCTCCATAGTGACGTAAGAAGTAGCTAGACCAGCAAGGAGTGTATCATATGGATATCTAATACCGGACTGGGAGATACCGCGGTGAAAGTAACCAGTGAAAAGCGGACTGTTGACTGCATGGTATACTTGTGATGAACCGAAAGATTGGCCCGCAATTGTAACACTGTCTGGGTCACCACCAAAGTTGGCGATGTTGTTTTGGATCCACTTCAAGACCTCAAGTTGATCAAGAACACCGTAGTTGCCGGAAGTGTTGTAACCGGTAGTAGCGAGACCCTCTGCATTGAGTTCAGGAGTGGCGAGATAACCTAGAACGTCGTCACGACGATTGAAAGTGACCATGACAACATTTTTCACTAGAGTGAAGTATGTCAGTATTCATTCAATACAAGCAATGCAATCCGACCTCTACCACCATCTAGAAATTTCCCAGATGTAGAAAGTTTGCTCGAATTTGAATCTTAGCTTGTATGAATTGTAGAATACTTACTGGCCATTCCGCCACCATACCACCAAGGATTGTCACTCGTCTCTTCAGAACCCTGGTTCCAAAGCAAGACTGGGAGCTTATCACTGGAAGAGTTTGCGTTCGTCCAGATATTTAGACTTAAACAATCCTCGCTCACATAGCCCGAAGAAGTGCTGGTAGGGCAAGCAGGACCGAAGCTGGTAGCTTGTAAAGTTTCGTTCCATGACTCTCTAGACTGGGCTGGCTTCCATCGGTTTTGGTAGCCAGTATCGGCAGCATAAGGAATACCTAAGAACGCGGCGACATTGCTGGAAGAAACACCAAAGTATTCCTCACTGACATTGGCGGTGAAGTACTTGTATCCTTGAACGGGACCCAAAGTGGTTTGGATTGTTTTGTTGTAGAGCTGTGCATTGATAGGAGTAATTGCCAAAAAAGCTGAGGTGACCAAAGTCAAAGCAGATTTGGAAGAAAAGAACGACATGATTGATTGAATCGTCTCAAGATGAGCGATAATTAGTACAGACTGTAGTTGTATATGTCTGGCTAATAAGTTGTTGAACGTCCTACTGGCCTTTATTTATATCATAGATCGACCGCTTTATTGAAGGTGCCGCGTAGGTTCATATGAACGTGTAACTAACTCCAAGTGAACACTTACGCACAGTAGATGAATGACCAGGGGGACTTTTGGTCCCTGATGCCCCACAGACGTTGCAACAGCGCCAATTATGGCTATAAGGTAGATATACATCCATGAGCAACTTGTCATTGTTCATTATCTACAGACCGATGTATCTTAATTTCAGACTGACATGATGGTCGTTGCCTCCATGTATATACTTCGGTTCAAACAGTTGCAACAGGAAAGCTGCTCATGGTACCCTACTCAGGCAAATCCTACAGGAAAGAAGGTGCTTGCTTATCCTCACATGATCTTTGCATCTAAAGTATTGTTTATGACATCGATTCCTCTCGGTATAGAATTTGGGGTTTCGGGACCGTGTCGGAGGTTTTTTAACCACCGAACATGGGTCTCCTCTTCCGCCAAGCCACGAAATCCATAAAAGCTGCAACTGCCGTGCACTATATATGCCAGCACGGCGAACTAGAATGAACGTAGTGTCGAAAATGCATTTGGAGAGGGATATCAAGCCTTTCTTACGAAAAGATACGCGTCATCTGATATTCATTGTATTCGGACCCGACGTCTTAGAAACTTGTTTCGACATACTCTATTTGAACATCATATTAGTAATAGTAGGTAGAAAGATCCTAGTTATGCTGTGAACAATTTAATTCGAGGGTTATAATTTCATAGAGCAATAAAGTTCGGCGTTTCTACGCTATGTACTACGACCACGACTCTTTAATATGCAATCCAAGAACGTTCTCGAGTTAATAGCAGTAGTATATGTAATATGCTTCTACAATACCCAATACTTTCATTGGGTTCATCTGCATGATTTGATTTGAAAACGTTAACTTTATTGTCAGCATTTAAAATCAAGCTATAAGAGTTTCGATGACGGTATTTTGGAGTGGGGAGCGAGTGTGCATCAATTAAACATTACTTATATAGTGTACAAATGTTCCGAGCCGGCCTATAGCACACATGGAATGCTTTGCGCTCGTGCAAAGACGGTGAAAGGAGTTAACAACGCTTTCATTTCATTCAATGAATGAGTTAATTATTAAACAGTTCTTAAGGAGGATACATTGAAGTCGGAACTCAAGTTCCCTGACTGAGATGTCAGTCTTATACTGTGATCACAACGATTGAGACTTATTATTATATCCTATTGCTTTCACGTTTCGTATATTTATAGCTCTCGGGAGAGCCGGCCAGTGAAGTTGTTGTAAACGAGAACAAGGCTCGAGTAAGAATGTGGAGCTAGAAAAAGAGTTCATAAGGCAGACAAAGACGAATTAGAAGTAAGGGAAAACGCTGTTGATAGAATATATGGACTATATTGCAATATATCTAAGCCGTTACTTTGTTAGAGTTGCTCTAATGCAAGTCTGATTTTTATCACTAGACTGAAGGAAAATCATTACAAGTATGATCGTCTTCTCCCCATCTTGAATGATAGTTTCACATAGTTTTTACCATCGCTGCTTTTGGTTGGTGTCCGGATGACGCTATACTTATAGCCGGAGTATCATTCGACTGTTTGAACGATGATTCCTTCTTTTGATGAATCCATAGCTCTCAGTATGCTGTTTATGTCGAGGATTGATAGATAAGTAGGAAACAGAAGATCTTTCGTTTGAATCCGAATAGGAAGAACCAGTATCGAAGTCTTTTCACTTTAGATATAATCAAAACCAATTGTAAATCGCTTAATGAAGTATCTAAGAGATTATGGATTTAACTACTTTTTCGAGAAAATCAAACTAGGTCACTAGATGTGGAGACCAATTTTGGTACGTATGATTACAATTGTTACATGGATAAGTTGTGTAAAACCCACTTTTAACAAAAACTTGTTGTTTTTAATAAATCTATTGTTGCTTTAAGGAAATTTAATAGATATTGAGCTATTTCTTTTCAAATTTGAATTTTTGATGCTTTTTATTATAATTTATTTACTTGAGGAATTTTATAGTTTTTGAAGTATTTGAAGCTCTTTATAGATTTTAAATAGGATTCTGAATTATAATTGAATAAAAAAACTAATGATTTCGTTTGAAATTCAAATGATTTTGAATAAAATATAACTTTTATAATACTTTGGTATACTAGAGTTTGTTATATAAATATTCAACCAATGTTGCGATTTGATTCGTTCAAAGTCTAAAAGTGGAGAAAAACTTGATCACTTTTTGGTGTGTTTTACAATACTTATCCTTCCAACCATCGTAAATAGCACCCAAAACTAGTTGGCGGCCTCAGTCATTAAAGGGAGATTCACATACACCCCGGACGTAGATAGCTTTTACAATAAAACGCATCCTACTTACAACAACTTTTACGCTTTTTATCAGCTTGCTTTTTTGTGGTGCTGATGCTACCTCATACCCGCGCCGTATTTCATTGAAACATCAATTTTTGGATGTATACCTAACATTCTAAAATACCATAATTCTTTCTAATATATATTAGCTGTCAGATTGAAAGCTCAATACACACCAACGTTCACCATAGTATATATTGCCTACAATGCTTTTGCATTCATGTTATTCTTCTGTTTCAATCATTCTTCCTGGAATCGTTAAGATATTCTTTCACAGAATAGCCCCGGGCTCATTGAGAGATACATGTAGCGGGCTGAACAATTGGGATAGGTATGAACTCCGGCTTGACAACGAGCTGGGCAGTGGAGTTACTGTCACTAAATTGCACTCCTAGCTTTGCTTCCAAGAGCACCAGCCTTCGCAGGATCAGATCAGCCACCCAAAGACCTAGCCGAGTGAGTCGTCTGGCAGGTTGCGAGCATGAAATTTCTCATCATCATTTCATGACCTCTAAATGATGGTCACACTAATTAAAGAAAGTTTGACATCATACCCCAGATCAGCTAGCCCTTTCTCGATGACTGGATTCTAAGTCAATGCTCGCGCTAGGCGAGGCATTAGCGCTATGCATGTCGGCTGTCGGGTATGCTGCCCCCAAACCTGATCTGAGATCCTTGCATTCGAAAGAGATCTCCCACAAAGCTTGTGATTAGACACTCTATTGACTGAGGCGAAGAAGCTTCACTGCTACTAACGTCTTTAATATCTTCGAGCATAGCAGTCATATCCAGTTCTTTCATGACATCGTCAATTATTAGAGACTTTATGTTGGTGAAGCATTCTTCCTAGGCGTGCTCGAACCTCGCATAGACAATGTGTAAACCATGTTTATTGGATATTCTTCGTTGTTGACCATCGGTTCTTCTTCCTATCTATCATGCTGCTTCCTCCAATCACAAGATTAGCAACATCTAGCGAGTCTAGCAATTTTCAGTGAAATTGGACGTAAACATTAACTTCTAGGAGAAGTTCATAAATATTTTCTTCCAAGTTCTCCGGGGTTGACGCATCCCGAATCAATCTTCCGATTTTGTTGACTAGCGTGACTAAGAATCTGCGAGGCAACAATTTTTCCCATGGTATTATGAACGACTCACCATACATATCCCCGGCACTGAAGATGCTTCCTGTAATTTTATAGTGCACTTCACCCGCATCTGTGACCGCGCGAAGCGCCAAAAGGTACCGGCAACCGACAGCAACAAACATGATATCTCCTGCCTTCAGCTCGGCTGGTCCAATGCATCCAACAAGATCTTTAGATCGGGATGTGCGAAAGAAATATGGCCTTCTATGACGCATGTAATCTCTATCTTGCACGGTGGATGGTTTTCACTTTGTCACATTCTCAGTGAAGTCAAGAGCTCCAGAGTAACCATTATCAGATTCATCATCAGAATTATCATTCAAGATTCGTGCAAGTATTTGATCTCCTGAACCTTGTTTATGGGATAGTAGGGTCGATTTGCTACTTCAATCATACATGGCACTCCGGCATAGTGTCCTAGGCTGCCGATCTATTTTTTTCCTGGTTTCTTTGATTAGGTGGAGTAATTGATCCAACAATAATGCCATGGAGTTTGAAGTAAAGCGTTATCCTCCAACCTATAATTGGGCTCGATTCCCGCATCAGCAGAAAAGTTCAGATCCTAACTTTCCTTATATTTAGGCTTAGGAAAATTAATTGGTATTGGCGTCAAGCCCCAGTCAGGAACCCAGCAAAGGGTCCCGTCCTGGCAGTCCAATCCGCCATATGCTAGAAGTTCCAGATTATTCTCCTTTTTGAATAGTCTTTTTGGCGACATTAATATCAGAAATTCTCGAACAGGGAGTCTGTAGCTTGGACGCAATGCTGGGGAGTCACTGTCCTTGCAGAATCCTCTCAATGCGTATATTTTATCTTGTGCATTAGCAGCCGCTAGCAGTTGTCTGTGCTATGTCAGCATAGTTAGATAAACAGCCAAAGATATGAATAATGTCTCAATGCTAGTAGTGTGAGAATTTCCATAAACATGTTTGAGTTGCCATGAACGTGGTGATGATAAAAGAGAAATTAAATGTCTTGTACGTATTCGGAAGGAAGTCTATCAGCGCAAGTGACTTTCAGTTATCTAGCATATCCGACTCTCGAGCCCTCAAGCATCTCAGTACTAACAGCAGTGGCTGCTGAGCCAGTATAAATTCAGTTGATTTTGTAGGCAGATTATTGTTAGGTCTTGGAAGTATTAAAGAGTGTTAAAGGGTGTTAAAAATCTTTAACCTCAACCCTAATTTCTATGATAATAAGCTAGAGTGGGGAGGAAACTCTCTCAGTGACTACGAATGAGGCTCACATATATGATAAAAGAATATATCTGTGAGCGCAGGCCAGGTTTTGGCCTGCCACACAAGCTTACTACCAGCTCTGGGTGTCCTTTTTATGCCGGAGCTCGTGCCGAATAGATTTGAGGGGACAAACTGACCCATCAAGCAAGCGTGACTAGAATTGATAAGATCATAATATCTACTTTTCACCATCATTATATCTCGCAAAGTATCTCTCTCACCCGCATTCATTTTGCGTATATTTAGGATCACGGCACCTCCTGTAAGACGAGACCTATAAGTTCACTTCACACCGAATTTTCTTCAGGTCCTACTTCTGGAGAATGTTCTTTCATTGAGTCGGAAGAAAAGTTGAAATCGCCGACATGGTCACCTTTCTATGGGCTGGGAGGGAAGATAGTTTCTCTCTCTGCAATACTCAGCTCTGTCTTCCTGCTTCTTCTAGTCTTGAACCTACACATCTTTTCATATCCAGAGAATGATTATACGACCCGTACCATTTTTGTAGATAGTATGATCTCTCCTCTCTTAACTTAAACTCGTCAGCTTACTTTCCCTAGTTCCGTGAACCCGACAGACTTTCGGTGGAGGCGCCGATTTTCTTCTTGTTGATCCGTACGATGGCCAAGCTTGGACTTTCTATAAAAATGAAAACTTTGATCTCGAACGTCAGTCTACAGTTTGGGATAATATTTACCCAAGTAGTTTCATCGCGGTCAAAAATCCACAACAATTTGGGTTCCAGGGTGGAGTAGAATTAAGTACTGAAGCGCAGAACTCGACCGATTTTGTGGCTGGAAGTCAAGGATTTGGGTTCGCTTTTCTGCATCAGATACACTGTGCTGTGCGCAGAAATACGCCTTCTTCCTTGCTCTTGTAATAACCTGGCTAAGAGTTATTTTTAGGGTGTTCTAAAACATTATTTGTCATACTAGAATCACAGTGAAATGACGGCGCAGCAGACCACTCACACAGATCATTGCATAGAAGTCTAAAGACAAGTTCGTTCGATTTCCTCAGTTATTCAAATTATGGGAATAGATAGCGCCACCACTAGCATTTCCTCGTTTGACATTGCCATGTTCAAGAACGTCATAAAATAGTGTGTTGCCACCAAGGTACGGTGAAGATGCTTTCAGAATGCATACTCTCATGTATTTATTCTTTAGGCTAATAGGCAAAACCATTGAGCCCCGACATATCACATAAGGGATATCTCTCTTCTTCGTAGATGCGTCAGGCTGATGCCCGACGTTCTGAGCACTTATATACACGGAAACGCAAAGCTTGAACACATTACCGCACCGGTCGTGAGGCTAGCAAGACCCCCTACATTCTGCGTCCTCCACCATCCACATATGCCTCAAAGTCCTAAAGTACCGATTGAGGCTCCGCTAAAATCCGAAGATTAGAGCAGCCTATATAGATTTCGATCAGTGTTGTCGAGAATAGAAACAAATAAGTACCCAGAACATTCTCAAATACACGCTCATGCGCTTTTGCCAAGTGCCACGAGATAATTAGTTAACTCTCAGGTGGCGTATCTAAACACCCACTGTTTAAAGAATGAACGGAAGTTTCATAGGCAGTGAGCTCTGGGAAGAGCTCGTGGAAGAGAGAAAAATCATCTTGTATTTCGGAGCCAGAAGTATCTATTGTATCAAACGTTGTGTCTAAATTCTCTTCGAATAAAGGCTGTTCAAGCTCTAGTGCAGTTGTTCCGATATAGCCGAAGTCCTCGTTACAAAGGACTAATTCTAGGTCTCCCTCGGAATTTGTTGGCATTGACATCATCTGATTTCTCTCTTCCAGAAGCAGATCTAGATTTGAAAGCATAGAAGGGGATTTGTTCTGCCTCAATGAACCGTCCCAGATTTCTGATATTGGTGTTGCGAGAGACACTGTGTTGGAATTATCTTCGAGTGTTCTTTCAGGGCATTGGTTGTATAAATTGGCATAGCGTTGTAATTCGTCGAACAGAGAGCTTCGTGTTTCACGAATCTCCGTGTTAGTCCAACCATATGCGATGAAGCCGTTAAGAAGTGCTTGTACAGCAGCTTGATCGTATGATTTGATGTTGTCATATAGGTCGCCGGCATAGGTCTTGATGAATTCTATAATAAGAGTGATATCGCTGACACTAAGCTTCCTTTCCCATCTAAATAAATTCCTTAGCATCTAAAACTTTGAGAATAGAAAAGTGCAACTTACATGGTCGATACATTGCTACCCATGCGAAGCACAAAACCAGGTCCGCCTTCCATTAAAAGTCGTATATATCCTCGGCCGGCCTTACGTTCGGCTCGAAGAGCATCCATAGTGATGGAAATGTTCTTTGCCTGTAGCTGGAAGGCAGCCGTCACTTTGCCTCTACCTTGAGACAAAACAAGTTTTTGCGATTGTATTATCTGCTCCAAATCGTGTTCCAAATAGATATAACAGAAGCGAGCTGCAGCAAGGTACTCCTCCCCACCCCTCTTAATCTTCCGATGGCCCTCATAGAGACTTCGAAAGCGAGCCGTGGACCCTGTCACTTGTGGTTTAGAGAAGATTGCCGACTTTTTATTCCACATCTCCTTTGCAAAATCACATGGGAGCTGAGGTGCCTCAAGAAATCCCTGGACGGCGCGAACAAGATATCTAGCGCGATTCCCACGGTTAGCAAGCCGCAACTCAAAGAATTCCCTTGCCTTGACAAGGATGTTTGGAATAGTGGGATTGCTAGATAGGTCGTAAGATGCAGTCTGTGGCGACTGTACATGTTCCGGCGTCAAGCCATAAACTCCTGCATCTTTATCGATATGGATTTCACCATGCCCATTCTCTGGGTATTGGTCATATTCTCGAGGATGGAACGTAGTTAAAGAGACCTTCTTAGTAGAGGGAGAGTGCGCAGTGGTATTTGATAAATTAAAGGCCGCCCTTGAGGGTTGAGCTCTCCGCTTGCGAGCAGAGCCATTTATAGGACTGGATTGCTGCAACAGACCGTCCAGATGCCGCTTCTTACAAATTTCAGATGCGACGTCAGATGCGTACGTGGTACTGTTGTCAAACTCTAGGGATGGCGATTGAAGGAGATGAAGATCATGTGATGATGATGTTTGAGCAGAGAGCTTGTGCGCTTCCATAAGAAGTTGCCGTCGCTGCAGAATGGTTCCACGTCGCAAAAATTTCCGGAAGCTATGTAGAGCATCCTAATTTTTAGGGTTAGTTAGCATTCTAACACTTAGAAAAGTATTATCCGCATTGGAATCTTGAGGCAAAAGCTGACCGGCGATTGAACCACGTCCCCCAAAGACACATTTTCCAATGCCAGTTGAAACTCCGTGACCGGTTCTAATAGCTCTCTTCGAATCATGTTTCTTGCCAGCGCTTGTATATTCAGAATTCGATTCGCCAAGCTGCCAAGCTGCCAAGCTATCAAGACCCGGGTCTACGAATCGTTATAAACAGAATAATATCCTACCATGGACCATAAGTGCCAGCGCGCCGCTGAGGTCATTTCCAACACTGCATCAGATTAAAGTTTATAAAGAGATTGTGACAGGCTGACGATCACACTTGAGAATCTCAGGCGGTGTCACCAAGCTGTGCTGTCTAAAAATAGCCTTTGGCGTGAAGAAGTAAGAAGACCGAAAGCTTAACTTGAGATAGCATTTTCCTCCCCTACTGTAAATTTGAAAGGTTATATTGGATTCTATCAGTCACTGCGTACTATCCGAAATCACCGTAGTACGACCTGAAGAACTAAGAGGACTTGAAAGTTTAAGTTGAAATAATGTTTTTCTAGAAGATTGATAAAGGGCCTTAACAAGTATTGTTATCTAGACTGCTTGAGTTATATGAAAAGATAAGAAAGAAAGCTTATCTCAAAAGCTTAACTTGAGATAAGCCTTTCTATTTTATCTCAAACCTAGGAGATTATACTCCACGGGGTGCCATCGGAGTTTATCAGCTATCCGAACTTACCGTCACCTGAAGAAGTAAGAAGACCCGAAAGCTTATTCTGACGTAAGTTTACCTGGTTCAGAAGCTCAGAATCGAATCCACCTTGTCATCCTCTGCTTCAAACATTTTCAAACTTAGATTCTAACATCGATATAGAAATTATATTTAAGAGGCTCGGCGAGTTGGATCAGCCATCTTCATGAGTTTCTTCTGCAGAGAGTTGAGTACCAACTACGAATGGATAATTTAAATGGCTCATAACATCGAAATCATGTGTACGGCTTCAAAGCAACACTCAATTCATTCTGATGCGAGACTATGATTCCTCACGAAAAGGAGAGCAGGACGAGTTCGTACTATATCAGCCGGGATCAAATTGTATTAGTATGAAAATGGTGGAGGATTAGTAAGTTGGTTTCAGGGTGCAACTGCCCTCTTAAACAATGCGTATCTCAAAATACCTCTCACTTCGCTTCGGCACCTCCGAACTACATTCAAATATAATTTAAGCTCTACGTAGGACTGGAATACACAATACAAAATGATCATTAAGTGGTCGTCTATTTTATCTCGACAAATGGCTTCTTTACTTAGCGGCTTCCGAACCGGCTTCCGTAGCATCCCGCCTCGCGCTTATGAAAACATCTCTCGATCCAATCACCATGACAGCGACACAGAGGATATCGAGACGAAAACAGCAGAGGTGGGTTCGATGAATTCCCGTAGCATTGATAGCATCTCTAGATTCCACGCAATATGCCTCTACACTCTATCACTAGTACTCGCAGTAGCATTGGCCATCACGTTGTTGGGAGAAGCTGCAGACTGTGATGGTCCTTTAGGTAGTTATGAGAGAGGATTTAAGACTGAAATACGTTGGTTGTTCTGATAATGAGACCTCGAAATGCTATGGGAAGCTGAAAACCGATAGGACCTGATCGCAACACATTGGCTTTGAAAAAGGTCAAGTTCTATGGAGGATTTGTGTATGACGAGAACGGCACTGCGTCTCTCACCCAGCCACCTGGCCCTGACTATTTTGGCATCCCTGGTCGCGAAACAGACCACCATTGGAATCTCGATTTGAAAGGCATGTTTCAAACTACGGTGGAAACCTGAGCTTTTCTAATACGTTATCGCGTTGTCCAGATCGATTTATTGCTGTTCCACCGAAAGACTGGCCTCCGGAAGCGGTTGAGTTCTTTGAAAGAGACTTTGTGCATGGGACCATACGTTTGGAGCAAGTTCTTTGTGATCTGTATGAAACATAGCATTCTAACCATCAAATTTGTTCTCTATAGGACAAATGGATTACATTCACTTCATTGTTTAGTAAGTTTGACATCAATTTAGCTATATGCCAAAAACTGACCTCAAGATCAGAATTATATCAGAATGTCACTGTCACCCGAGTGGTACTTTGGCCCCGCAGCAGACCCAGATCCGCAAAGACCGCTTGAAATGCATTTGAGTAAGTTGGAAGTATGAATTGATAGAACTATGTAACTAACTCAAACGCAGAACACTGCTTATTGCAGATTCACCAGCTCCTTAAGTGTCAGCTTGATATGACTCCAATTCCAAGAACGTTGAGGCCTACTAAGCACATACATCATGCGGACACAGATATGTGGCATGTTTGCAGAGATTTCAGTGCTTTGAGGAACTGGATGTATCCATTAGAAGAACACCATACGTGATGGATTTGGCTCTGTAATTTGTATTCATATGTAGTGGAGAATTTTGCTTTGTATCTTTGAATAGACTACGCAGAGATCATCCGCACCCACGGGTTATTTGCTGATAATCCACTCCACAGGTTACTTGCTAGAAATTCTACCTGCACTACGGATTATTGGTGAATTATTTGTTTGAACAATTCTATGTAAAGTTAAAATGCAGAGAAGCTCTAGAACACTCGATTGGAAACGTGTAAAAGCACGCATGATGCAATTTTTCCCTTGCTCACTTTCATACATGAAACATTCCATCTCAACATACTCTTTTTGCTCGCTCATATGGACAACGATGTTAAGAATGCTTGCCTTCCGAGTGACGTAGAAGCGGCCAGGACCCCGAATACTGCTGGCCACAAGACTAACAGTATGATCGCAGGTTTATCATTGGAAACAGCCATATATGGGATCGTAGTAAGGCAATGGTAGGTAAACAAGTAGTAGTTGTCGATTTAGCAGTGTTGTGCGCCCCTTGATTGCTCAGTGGTACTTAGTGACTGCGCATTAAAAAAATTATGAGAAAATTTATACTGGTTCTGTTACCACAGGGGATAAGTTTTCAATGCCGTTCGAAGGTTGACTTTCGTTTATTACGAAAGAAATAAAGCACAAAAGCCTTGTACTTCTGTCACTACTACGATTTATGTTATCGATTAACTTTTTTCGGCTGAACGGGCATCGAATGCAATTCAGAGAATAGTGAACTCGACTCGGGACTTCGAATAGTGCCCGAGGCTCATCTTTCAAGGGGCACTTTCTCTCTGAAAGGCACTCATGAGTAGATGTGGTCATTGTTCTTGGCCATGATAGCGCCGCTCAAATTTCTTTACAGATTTTCAACAGATTAGACACACCCTTAATTCCTCTTCACAGTCTGCACATTTCACTTTCGTCATTGTGCGTCAATATCTTTGCAGGTTGGGACGCTACTACTGAAACTAGGTAGCTAGGGGAACTCGATTTTTTCTTCATGTGTCGACTTTGAGCTGTTTCTGATATCTGATCTGCATCGGAAGAATGATTCTTCACAGCACGAGTAAGGTAAGATGATGTTGTGATATCGCTGGGAGATTTTGCTAACATTGCCGCATTAGATGGAGCAGAGACTCGCGCTTCTAGGAGAAGCAGAATCAGAGCAGGCCTACCCGGCAGGCTCGGAAAATTGCAGCAGCGATCGCACATTGTCGCCGTCTCTGTGCGACGATGAAAAGCTTGACGATAATCCGCATCTTCGTTATATGAGAAAGTGGCAGTACATAGGTATTTATGTCGGGTTAGCGTTTTTATTCGTTATATTTGGTATTGGCTCAATTGTCAGTACAAGTATTTCTCTCGGTCTATCATCAGCTCAATTTGTAAACATGGGAGAATGCGGCCGTACACCACAAGAAGCGCGAGACAGCGGGTGCGTCTTTGATCTCATGATGTCCGGTTGGGTACATCCTCCTTGTTACGACCAAGAACTGTCCGACGAGTTTTTACTAGTCAACAATTTCACCTTCTACAGGGAAAGAGAGGGAATCAATATCATAACGGAAGCAGAGGCTCGTCTGGGCAACTACGAGGTCATATACAGTCATGGAACCTTCCACTATCAACATTGCGCCTACATTTGGGCCAAGCAGATCCGTGCGAATAGGAAGTCCCCCCTTGTTCTAGACAGTGTATCACGTTCTAAAGAGCACGTTGAGCACTGTTACAGCCGGGTCGGGAGCCCGAACATTACTCAGATCCAGCTTGCGACTGGAACAAAAATCAAGAGATCGGCGTTCAGGCTTAGATGTATGATTGGCGAGATGGAAGTCTTTTAAAGTCAATAAATCGCAGGAGGGTGTGGTTGGTGTTAGCAGAGCGGGAAATCAATTTTTTATTATTAGAAAGATTAAAGGGAAGTATTGTGCCATACAGGTGCATGCCATCCATGGAAAGTCTCTCTCGGAGACCTTGCTATCTCGTAGACGACAACCGTATATTTTATACGAAAGGGCTATACTAGAGACATAATGAAACGCGGGGGTATTTATACTTCAAGTTGATATCTTTGAAATCTAAGCGTGAAAACATATATTGTGAAGCCTCTTTTCTGATAGATGGAAATGTTGATACTCATTACTAAAGTGTAGCGTAATTAAAACATGGAATATACTAATTACAACACTGATAGAATTGCATCAACTTGTGCGCTCGAGATCCCCTTCTGTAGAAAATAACTTCAAAAATTGCCTGCATCTCCCTCCTTTATTCTTTCTTTCTCTGAGACCTATCCAGATACACCGTTTTCTCAAAACACCGCCTCGTCAACCCGCGAGTTCTTGAACTCCTGCAGCATATCCCAATTCCGACAAGTATGTACAACATCAGACTGGACGAAACTTCTCCCATGCCCTTCGTACCATATTACTGGTATTGGTGTAAGGTCAGCATGGCACATTAGTTGCTGTCTAAGGTGATCCAGGCAATGGTCGCGGTGAGCTCTCTCCGGATAGGCATGTTTTGTCTTATTATTGTAGTAGAATTCCTTGTCTAGAGCTTTCCTGATCTCGTCGACGCAATGTAGAGCATGGTAGACGTCCAGTCCCACTAGGTAGCCAAGACCAGGGTGATTGTAAAGTCCGTGTGGCGTCCCGAATGCGATCTCAGCCTCCTCTTCGGTGACGTTGAAGTATCGACCTTTGACCAACTCCTTCCACGCCGCGTCCAATTCGTCTGTAGGTGGTCCGACGTATCTTGGCTCGGAAGGATTGTGGACTTTGTACCCAGTACCATTATCATACCAGCGTGGTCCTCCATAGAACATTTTCGATTCTTGTCGGACATAAGGCTTTGATGGGTCAAAATCAGTATCAAACCCAGTACCGAATGAACCGGAACTAAGATCGCGGTGCTTGTATAGCCTGGATTGCCAAAAAATCTGTACTCCAGTGGTGAATGCAAAAACTGCCGCGAACACCCACCCTATGCACAAGAAGGATGTTGAGAGAGACTGAATAACTGGACTTGATTTTTCAGATCCATCTTCACTTTGGCGCACTACTTCGTAGCTTGGGGAGCGGATAAATTTCATCGTAGTCTTGTGATATCGTCTGATGGAAGAAATGGAAGACGCACCCTGACTGATGAATTCATGTCTTCTCCCAGGTTACCTGGATATGGTCCAATATTCATGTGGGTAGTCTATCCTGTCTTTAAGGGGGCAATTACCGCGGTGCTGCTTAGTGGGGGAAGTAGTTCGAAGGCTATCTTTAAAGGGGCAACATTCAAGATGTTTCACTATAGCGCCCTGATCCTAGTGAGCATTTGTTTAATTCAATCTTCTCTTTAACCTCTTAACCTCTACCTGCTTTGCTCTCACATCTAGTGCAGGATCACTCTGTCCCAGCACATTAAGAGTTTCCAATCTTTGTTCTTATTCCTGAACTCATTGTTATTACCCTTACTCTATTTGGTAAATTGCTGCAGATGAATTCCCCGGAGTATCTCAAATCGCCCCTCTTTAGTACAGGCTCGGAAATCGGCGATTCCAGGTTGTTTTCCGCCCACGAGTACGAACACCAGCAAAAGCCACGAGCAAAAGGGAGCTGGTATACTTACATTGTGTCATAGGCAACGGTCATCTTGGCATGGACATTCGGCATCATTTTGTACAACCATTATACAACTTCTTCTTCTTATGCCCTAACCCGCCGAGGATAATGCGGGTGGTCGGTCGCAGAAGCGAAAGCAAACGGTTGCGATTTTGATATTATGCTGTCCTCGCGGCTATCCAAGCCGTGTTATGATAAAGAGCTCTCGTATCGATACCTCGCAGTTAACAATTTTACCTTTTGGGAGCACAGCAAGGGCACGAGTCAGCTTTCAATGGAAGAGGTGCAGAAAGGAGGATTCGATATAGTCTTCACTCACGCCATATATCTCACCCAGCACTGCCTGTAAGCAAGCCTCTCTTGTCGGGCTGCAATTCAGTAGTTAGACACCTGCGGCTGGTACTACAAGCTCTGAAATGACGATATTATACCCTCACTGACTTTAAACTATGAAATAATAGTTTCCTTTGGGACAAGCAAATCTAAGCTGCAAATTCGAGACGCCAATTCACGTGAAGCCGCAGAAACAGATGTACTGAGAGGGTTGAAGTTGCTTGTGAAAGGGCTCTGAGAAGTTTCCTCAGAATGGAAGTTCGGATGTTGATGTCTTTTTTTGCAGTAGCTACACAATGGGAGTGATTTGAAGGTGCTTGGATAGATCTGTTTAAGGTGATCTTTTTCCCTCCAACATAGATTTATGATTTATTGAAAATTTATCACTCTGGAATCGTTTTCTTACTCAAGTACGTTCAACCAGGGCGAAATTGCTCGTCAAGCCTGTAATGTTCTCATTATTCAAATGATTCCAGTGAATACTTCAAGATAGAAGGCAGGAGCCTATGGCGTGGGCAACGTGTAGAAGGACTTCAAGACATTATTGGATTGATCAATGTGAGAATTAATCACGAGGTTTAGCCTGGACGCTTCATTTTCTCCTTCGAATCTATGTAAATAGTGGGACAGATGGATGTGGGTGCAGAGGCATCTTCGGCCCGCGTGGTACAGCAATACTCCCATTGTATCTCGCTTTTGAAAACTCGTGAAGCTTCTCGAAAGCCCTGCAGGTATGGACTTGCTTAGGATTTATATACTGGCCGCGTTCATCATGCCACTCGCTAGGAGATATAACGCTGCTACCCTGGCACATTATCACCTGTCTTAAATGATCGATGCAATGCACTGGAAAATTTATGAGTTTGGCTGTAATTTTACAAGAGGTTGGAAGGCCTTTTTCACTTACATTGGTGTATCATCCCTCGATGTTCTTCCTCGGGATAGATGTCACGACGTAGAGCTTTTCTCAATTGATTCTGTTTCCAAGTTGTCAGCGGGTTTATATCAAATGATGTTTAGTATATGGCGTACTAGGCAATGTAGACAGTGAAACATGTCGAGTCTAAGTCTGTTAGATATTTAGGCCAGCCAGAAACATTAGTTGAGACTCACGTGCCAGTCCACCCACCCCTAATCCTGTCTCTATACCTATCAGACTCTGTACCCCATAACCTTCTAGCTTCTTCCTCAGAGACCGAAAAGTAATGTGATTCTCCTCCGATAATAGCGTTCCATGCTTCATCGATCTCAAGACTCGGCTCGCCGACATAAATTGAGGGAGCGAGGACTTCTATGCCTTCAGGGCTAAAGTCCACTCCGCCAGTAAATCTCGTTTGTATGAGCTTGAATGTCTCAGAGGGTGCTATGAGTCATGTTGTATTAGCAAAATTTCTGAGACTGAAGTATGAAATGTTGATTTCCTTCAACTTACTAATAATTAGCTCTTCAACAAATCCATTTTCAGCTGAGCCCAAAGGACTATCCCGATGCGTTTTACTAGTCATACTACCCGCGACGAAAGCCGCCGCACCCCATAGGAGCAATGTAATAACTGTGATGACGACTCGGGTAGTACCATTTAAAGATTTATGCGATCTCGGTACCTCTGTGTCGTCTCCAGCCTTTGGTAGCAAATTTTCCTCACTTTCCATTGATGCTTTGTTGGCTCGATGTTGATCTGCCCATCTTTCGGCCTGAGGATTGAAAATTCTCAAAAATAAAGTCATTTTGGATTGAACAGTAAATTGAGAAGAGCGCAGATAATAGGAAGGTTGTGATGATTATTTTGATGTAGAGAAGCCGTTCGATGTGGTTTTCATTTGAAGTAGCAAGTGCCCCGTGAAATAAATTTGGTCTGATCATCGGCTCGCTTATCAGGGCAGGGGACTTTGCAATATAAACTAAAGTCGCATGACTCTCACGGACCCCGAGAGGGAACCTTATATTGGGAACATCGTGAGAGGAAATCGGGTAAAAAATCACTTGATTGAAGGAGTTTTAAGTTTGAGCGCGAGCCTGCAATCGAGAGTCGGTTGACTAGGGTAGAGCCTCTGCCGAAGTCTGACTCCAGTACACCATGGCCCAGGATGGGAAATCCTTAATGATACGATTGAAGTCGCACTATGAATTTCAACCTTCTTTCAATGTCCTCCAGGTATACATAAGATCTTCCAGCTTTTCACTTTTCTAGCGGCCAAGCCATCAACTCTATTTTTTTGGTCTTTTCAGGATGATCAACAAAGGACCGTTGCTAGTACTTGCTTCTCAATTTTTTGCTGTAACGATTCACGGGCTGGCCAAATACCTAGAGACAACCGCCTCAGTAGACCCCCAACAGATTCTCCAAGTCCGTATGTTCATCACCTTGAGTATCAACAGTCTTTTCCTCACGACACGTTACCCGAATGAGCTGCCTCTTGGTAAGAAAAGTGTTAGGCATCTGCTCATACTGAGAAGCTTAGGAGGGATTTGTGGTTCAGCTGGATTTTACTGTGAGTATCCTGTCCGTCATTGCACATCGAGATTATCCTCACCTTTGAAACCTTGATTGACTCCCAATGTTGCCTCAGATTCTCTGAAGTATCTTCCTCTAGCAGACGCAACAACTCTGAATCTTCTAGCGCCGTTGGGAGCTAGTCTCGTCACAACAAAAAAATTCACCTTGATAGAGATTGGTTCCATAGCAATCTGTTTTCTTGGTGTAGGACTTATCACCAAACCAAGTTTTGTCATCGATCTGCTTTACTACAATGATGCAGATAATCATCAGAAGATTTGGACATCTCAATCGCGGCTGGGATTGGCCTGTTCAATGATCGGGGTGCTAGGGGGAGTCGTAAGCAGAACATATCAATTGTTTTTTCTGAATCTCACTAACTTCAGTACTTCAGTGCGCTTACTCTTCAATCTCCAAGATCGGACTACGATCACATCCACTTGTGACAACCAACTGTTTTGCCACTAGTATCCTGATTGTAAGCAGTGCTTGCTTTGCTGCCGTTCCGGGAGTCAACTTCAACTTTGATCTAGGCTTGTTACAGTGGTTTATTATGGGGTCTATTGGGCTTTCTGGAGCTTTAATGGTAATACAATGTTCCTGAAACTTGAATTGATACTGATCAAATGCATTAGGAGTATCTTCTGACAGCAGGGCTTTCTGATGAAGGAAACAGTTATGCTGTGCATATGATTTACTTCCAGGTGGTACTTGCCCTCGTTGCAGATTGGCTGATCTGGCATACTATACCTGATATCACTTCTGGCATAGGGGCGGGGCTGATCATTCAGGCTATGTATGTGATACAAAAATATCGATATAAAGAGGATGATATAGTTGACATTGAAATGGCACCTTATACGCGAAATTGTAGATCAATGACCTAAACTTTGTTATGATCAATTCGTTATAGATAAAACTTTTTTCTCGAAGCAAGAAAGTTCAACTATTGCTCACGGTGAAATTTATTATCGAAGATTTGGCCTGACGATAGAAGAAAAATTTCGAAGTAGTAGATGCCCTTATGAAAGTCAAGCTTGCCTTGATTCAGTGCTGAAACATATCACGGCCTTTATTTCGAGTCGTCAAAATTATCCTGTTGTAGGGTTTACTTGCTTTTGAAAGGAGGCTAATCTAACAATGGACTGGAAGCAAATAAAAGGAGAGTTTACAGCTTGTGCTTACAGATCCTCTTTTCCAAGTTGCAAGTTTGAGATTTACACATCACACATCTTGATACATCAAGTATCAAGCGATACGGAACACAACAATGGAAGTCCAAAAAAAGTTTATTTGCTAAATGAGTGTGGAAACCTGCCAGTAGAAAGTATTCAGGTTTCGAGATGGACCCAGATCCAAATCCATTCTTCTTCACATAAAATCAGATAAAATCACACCAGTTCCATTCCATCCCATTACTACGCTCTGCAATCCAAGTACCAAGACTCAAAGACCAAAAGAGAAATGCTTGGGGCACCTCTCCTGTGATTCAGGCTTTGATTAGCGTGCAGATCAATTAAGCAATCTCGGCGAAAATAGAGCGCTCAGTGATCTACAAGTAAATGAGTCAGCATCTCCGTTCAATGCATCGTTTCAGGAATAGAACATACCTCTGCGACGCACTCAGAATCAGAGCCCTCGGAGCAGACATAACAACAACCATCACTGTAGCAGCACGTGTCGGAGTTAACACCTTCGCAAGTCTCGCCATTGGAGCACTTTGGCGAGCGAGTATCCAAAAGGTTAGGGTAGGAAGGACCAGCAACGGCGAGGGTAGCGAAAAGAGCGGCCGCGGCCATAATGACTTGAGAGAACTGCATGATGGTGAATTCTGTATCCGGTGGAATTGAAGTTGTTGGAAGTTGAATCTAGTGAAAAGGCTGAATATTGATAAGGATGTTTGAATGTGATGTGTTGTGATTAGTGGAACATACAGCAATCACTGTCTATATATACTCAGAAAAAATTTAAGGGCTTTCTGTGGCTTCAGGGACATACTCTTTCCAAGGGCAGCTGCTCTTTGAAAGAACTGCGTCAAATACACTTTGGTCTCGGAGAGTCGGACATAAATTCATTCTAATGTTTCTAGATAGGACTGTGCACAGTGGCTTACAGCAGTGAGCCACTCCACATGATAATGTCCCTTTAAACATCAGTGTCTGGTTACCGATACTCCCCCATCGCACTTGTGTAATATTATCAAACAGAACTTTTAATAAAACGCTACAGCCGACATTTCACTTAGACTGATGTCTTTTGGCTAGATTGGTTCTCTTTTCACAGTGCATTCATTAAATACTTCAAGTTTTTTCTATTAGCGACGCATATACCTCTATGAGTCTCCAAAACTAAGTTAGGTACATGAATCATCTCAGTTCTCAAAGTCACTAGGCAATCAAGATGGAAGCTTTTATGAAAGACCACAGCGACACCATCAAAAAGTAGGTTTTCGATCCAGCATCTGAGACTGTCATTTATCTACTGACATGTTCGAGATATATACCACTCATGGGAAGATTCCTGATAATCGTCACATTCTTGGAGGATGCTTTTACAATCGTTACTGAGTGGAAGAATCAGCTCATATTTCTGAATCAATACCGAAAAAGTCAGTACTACAGGGTTGATTCTAACCATGGAGTCTTTGCTAACTTATTCCAAGTTTACTATGGAGTAGCTAATCTCATACTTTTTACTAATGTTGTTTTGATGATTTCCTGCTCCTCCCTCGTCCTCGCCCGGAAACACATAGAACTTGCAGTTGGAGGCCTCATTTTTGTGGTTGTAACGCAAGCATTATGTTATGGCATGATCTCGGATTTTGGCTACTTCTTGCGTAATCTTTCGGTTCTTGGGGGGTTGTTGATAATGCTATGCGCGTCATGGGCGCGCAAGAGACCAGTTATGGCTGGCCTACCTGGGATTGAGCAAAAAGATAACAAGATGTATGTCCAGCTTGCTGGTCGAGTCCTTATTGTTTTAACTTTCCTTGCATTCTTTTCCAGCCTGGAATTGAACTTATTAAGCGTTATTGTATTCGTCGTGGGATTCGGTGTCTGTGTTATGGTCGCCGTCGGCTACAAAGCAAAGATAAGCGGCATTGTTCTCGTCTCCATGTTAAGTGTCCTCAACTTTCTCATTAATGATTTTTGGAATGTAAGTCTGAGATAACATCTGCAAAAACAAAATGCGCTGACCAGGAATACAGCTTCATCAGACTCATCCTCGCAAGGCTTTCGCTAAATATGATTTTTTGCAAACCTTATCTATTGCAGGAGGTCTTATTCTTCTAGTAAACAATGGCCCAGGTGCATATAGTATTGATGAGAAGGCGAAGGAACTTTGAGATACCCAGTATCGCGAGACGATGGCATGGCTATCTTATACTCTTGCACAAAGCAACATCTGGAGGTTAAGCTGATATATAGAGGGTTTATTTTTCAAGTCGTAAATACTTTTTACGTAAGTAATGAAACAGGAGATGATATAAGATCTATGAATATGGAATCAAGCATTTGATTAAATTATGTTCTGGTTCATACATTGTATAATACGAAATATTATCCAGAATATAGAGCAATCTCTCGTATAAAGTCTCCTAACTACTAACTATTATTCTAAGGAATTTTTTGCTAATCATTAATCCTAGTAATTAATTTTGATAAGAAACTAGTAACTAGTCAAAAAGTCCCTAATTAGTTATTAATCTTATAGAATTTAATTTGAATCTTTTCGAAAATCTGAAAAAAGGAATAAATTAGAAATTAATTAAATTATATTTATTCAAAATTATATTAAGATTATTTTTCCAATTAATAGATCTATAATATTAATTCTATTTATTATTATAAGGAATTTATTGATGGTTATTAACTCTAATATCTATTTTTAATAAAAAGCTAATAATTAGTTAAAAAGTCCCTAATTAGTTATTAATTCTATAGAATTCAATGTAAGTTTTTTAAAAATCTGAAAAAAGGAATAAATAGGAATTCAATTAAATTATATTTATTTGAAAACTGAATTGAATTATTTTCTAAATTGATTGATTTATATTATTAATTCTAAAAATCGAATCTGAATAATATCAAAAAATACTTAAATATCTATACAAAAATGAGAATAATAATTAGCAAAAAATTATCAATTGATTATTAATCTTATAAAATGTAGTTTGAATGTTTTCAAAAATCTGAAAAAAGAAATAAATAGAGATTCAATTGAATATTATTAATATAAAGACTGAATTGAATTATTTTTCAAATTAATTGATTTATAATATTAATTCTAAAGATTGAATTTAAATAATATCAAAAAACATTTGGATAATTTTGTAAAAATGAGAGTAATAATTAGTAAAAAGTTATTAATTGGTTATTAATCTTATAGGATATAATTTAGATTTTTTCAAAAATCTGAAAAAGCAAATATATAAAGAATTAATTAAATTTTATTCATTCGAAATCCAAATTAAATTATTTTTCAAATTGATTAATAAATATTTCTATTTAGATATAATTTTATTTTGAGATTCAATATAGAATTCGTTTAAAGCTTAGACTTTTTTGTAAGGCTTTCTTAGGATTATTGTTATAATAACTAATAATACACAATAGGTTTATTTATATTAAAGCTTTCTTCTTATTTCAATTCTAATTTTCTTGATATTATTAATTTTATCAATATTATTAATTTTATCAATATTATTAATTTTATAAATTTTGTTAATATTATTAATATTATTTTTAAAATTTATTAAAAGTAAAATTGAGAAATCTCAGAATATATAAACATTATTATTAATACTAAACTAGTTTTTAATGAATTTCTAATCAATTTTTAAATAATCTTTTTAATAATATTATTTTAAAAATTATATATATAATAAAAAAGAATAAAATGAAAATATAAAGGTCAAATATAAGGTTAAGGTTAGAAAATAAAATTGAGAGTTAAATATTATATTCGATGCGTCTTGATTTAATAAATTCAATAATATTATTACTATTATTATATAAGTACTATAAAAGCTATAAAGATTAAATATAGAATAAAGGTTAGTCTAAAATAGGAAAATGTTTTGATTTTTTTTGATATTATTTGATTTATCTTGACTTAAGGATTATAGTAATAGTAATTATTCTTATTCTTATTCTTATTCTAATATACTTCTTGATAACATTTATATAATACCTAGAGGATAGATATTATATAAAAAAAAGCTTGATAATATCTGATTAGTAATAGTTAGATAATATCCTATACAAAAATCGTATTTTTTTTTAATTTATTAAAAGTGGAGTTGAGAAATCTCAGAATGTATAGACATTATTTTTAATCCTATATTAGGTTTTAATAAATTTCTAATGAATTTTATTAATTTCATAAATTATCACGACGTCAACTATATGATCTATAGTTGTCTTCATGCCTCAGATATAGACTATTAGTATGCCCTGCTTTCTATAAATAGAACCTTATTCTTTTATAACTCTTTTACCCTTATAATATAATATAAGTTTATATTTATATTTTAATAATTTATATTATTTTTATAGAAATTATTATAATTTCATTTTAATTAAATTTTATTAAAGTTATATTCTGATTATACTAATTATATTTATTATTGATTTGCTATTATTATAATAAACTCAGAGTTAGAATTAGAAATCCTTAATACTCTTTTGATTACTTAGATTATTTAATAATCTATATTAGAAAAGATGCTTATACCGCATACTACACTATACTATATCAGGATTAGCCTGTATATAACTCTATCAAGTCCATATATATATATTATATCTCTATATAAAACTTAATAATATTAAAGCTTCTCTACTAATTCATATATAATCTTTTAATAAGTTATAAGCTCAGATTTATATGATATTAGAATTAATTGTTACGGAGGTACCCGCATTGTAATATGGATTATAAGATAAACCTAAGGACTTGATATTAAATCCTACAAAAACAGTATTGTAGGGATAGTTGAATTAAAGAGTAATTAAAGATAGCAATAATCAAATTAATAAGCAATAATTAAAAGATAGATATCTATCTTTTATTAATATTTATTCTATAATAGGTATAAGAGGGATAATAATTACAGATTATCTAATAAGTATAAATTAGATAAATAGTAATACTATATAAGTTATAGAATAAGTATTATATAATAGATAAATAGGATAGATAGATTATTTAGGCTATTTATAAATAAATAGAATAGATAATCTATTTAGATTATTTAAATAAGAATAAAGATCTATATAAAAAAATGGGTTTTATTATAATATAAAGCTTTATATTTAAGAATAATCATTAGTTTTATTATTATAGTTATAAGAATTATAATTAGTTATAATCTTATTGAATTTCTACTTGAAGTTTAGTCTAAACTATTTTAAGAGATTTCTAGATATTTCTATATAATCCTAGAGATAGCTTTTATAATACTTTAAGTATTGTTTCTGTTTTAAATATTAATTCAATAAATCATTACTAAATATAATATTCAGAAATATTGTTATAAATTAGTCTATATCAATAGTAGATACTATTAATATTGAGATAGCTAATACTTTAAAGAAGATTATTATTAATAAAACCCTTAAGATAGTTTTATTAGATAAGTATTAAAGTAATTAATAGAAACTTAATACTTTCTTTTTGCAATTAGAAATCTATTTTAGATTTAATAAAAACAAGTTTATAGTTATAGAATCTAAGAGTGTATAAGTTGTATTCTATCTCTGAGAAGAAGCAACTAAATAGATTCAACTATATTTATAAGATTATTTCGAGCATATCAATCAAAATTATATATAATTCATATAAACAATCTTCAATAATTTTGAAGGTTTTAAAATAGAGATTTATAGAATCTTTAGAAACTCTAATAAACTAAAAATAATAAAAAATAAAATCTTTAATCTCAAATAAATAGAATCAATATTAAAATATACTATGGAATTCTGAAGATATATAGAAATAATTAAATAGAATAATATTATTATTATAAGTTATTACTATAAAGAACTCAAATTAGAAGTCAGACTAGAATTAGAAAGATTTGTTGAGAGTGTAAATTTGAATAATCTAATTCAGGATTTTATTAAATCAGATAATCATTTTTATAGATATTGATAAAATCAAAAATCATATAAATTTTAGGGAAATCAAAAGTAAGAGTATTATTGTAAGAATGAGGGTAGATTATATTATAATTCATAAAGATATAGGAATCTTATAAAATTAAATATTATATATTATATATTCAGGAATAATAATTAGAAAAAAAAACAAAAATAAGAAAATAATTTATACTTTAAATATGGAAAAGTAGAATATCAAATAATAGAATATTAAAGTAAGAAAACAGAAAATAAAAAAAGCAATTTCAAGGGTAAATTCAGTAAGAATTAATTTAATACTATCTTTACATTATAGTTATATATTATAAGTATAATGGAATTAGTTATACTATTATTAGTTTATAAAAATAAGCTTGAAAAAAAAAAAGTTAAATATTTCTTATAAATAAACAAAAACCTATAGTTAGAAGAATTATAATTAATTCAAGAAATTAATTAATAAAATCGTTATATCTGGAAATTTGAGAATATAAATGAAGAAACTATCAATAAGGATTTCAATATAATAAATACTAAGGAAAATAAATTATATAAAGTAAGATATATTAATTAATACTAAATCCTATAATTTAAGATTATTATAAATATATCCTTTATAAAAAGAATTAGTATAAAGTATTTTTAATAATCAGATAAAGAAGAGTTATAGGAAATATTCTATTAATATATATTCAAGTAGAATAAAAACAAGGATTTGTTTTTATATCGAAAAATCGAAAAAGAATATTATATTCAAGTTTAGGTTATATTATTACTATTAGTTATAAGTATAATAATAAAAGTTATTTAAAGAATCTACTAATATATTCTATAAAAAGACTTACTTAATAATAAAACAAAATTAGGAATAAGCATTATATATTTAGAAAAAGAGGAACCTTAATAAATAATATTTCCTAATAAAATTATTTAGGATAATAGAAATAAACAAGTTATATTATAGTTGAATACTATAGGATAAATAGAATAAATCTATTATAAAATTAAGATAAATAAATAAATATAAGTTATTATAATAGATTCAGGGACTATAGGAAATTTTATTATATTAAAAGCTATAAAGTATTTAAGAGTTCTATTTTAATAAAAATAGAACTCTTATTAATTACAATTAGTTAATAAACAACTAATAGGATTTAATAGAAATGTTTTATAGAAAATATAATTAGTATAAATAAATATA